ACTGCAAAGGGGAAGTCATGACAGGAAGTCAGGTTTGGAAACACTGTCCACTTTGTAACCCACGGCTTTGGTTCTGGCAAACCCTGCTGTGTTTCCACTCCTCTTCCTTGGGAAAGGGTCCTCTTATCTATATGATACAAATCCTGCAACTTCTGCAACCCTCTAGGGTCAAGCCAACACCTATGGGGTCAATTTCGAGCAACAACTGCAGGCCTGAAGATGAAATTCTCACCAAATCACATAGAACGAATGGTTTAAAGAAGCAGGCTCCCTTTAAAAGGCAATTACTGCAGATTAGCTTGCTGATAGTTTTAAATTACAGCTCTGTGCAACAGCCAGTAGTTTTTAAAACTGTATCTTTTCAGTCCTGTTCTCTCGCAAAAAGATAAAAAAATTTTAAAAAAATTTCGAGTGTGAAGCAACTTACAAGAAAAACGGATCTGGGAGGCGAAATACTTCAGGCCACCTAAGCTTCCTTCATTGGGTTAAAGGATGAAGCTTCAGGGACCCGGGGCTCCTCCCCTTTAATTAGGCAGCAAGGGAATACCTGGCTGGGAGCTGAAGCCCGTTTTCAGTAAGCCAAGATTTGGAGGCCAAAGCGAACTGGAAGTAATGTTTGGGCGTGTGTATACACGTGTATACAAGTGGTGTACATTTATGTGTACCCTTATAGAGACACACAGACGTGTAGGTGTGCTCGGAGAATCAAGGGAGACAGTGAGTACATTGAATCTTGCTGCAAAGGAGCAGAGCACAGAGCAAATTGCGTACAGAACTTCTTCATTTAACTTCAAGCCACCGCTATGACCACCCCTGCAGCTAACCAGGGTTATTGTGGCCGCCGGCACATCGGCTGGTTTAACCTGGTGCCTACCTACCCGGGCCGGGCAGAGGAGTACCTGCCATTTGCAGAGGCCGCGCTGGGTGCAGGGGACTGAGCGGGTCGCCAGCCCCCAGGCTGGCCCTCTCCACCACATCGTGGTCCGCTCGGCAGAAGAGACCGTCCTCCCGAAGCGCAAATTCGTCCCCAGGGATGAGCTGGCGGCTGCAGGCCACACAGCGGAAACACTCGATGTGATACACCTTGGAGCGGGCACGCATCACGAAGTCGTTCTTGCTGAAGCCGATGCTGCACTTGGCGCATTTGATCCCATACAACCTGTGCGGGGGAGGGGCGGGGGAGGCGGCCCAGAGTGGGAGAGAAGCACAGAAAGAGGGGGTCACTTCAGGCGATCACTTCCCTGACCCAAGATCCCGGGCAAGGCGCCCCGAGAAAACAGCATTTCCAAACAGAAGCTGGGAACAGGACAGAAATGAAACCCAGCTCTCTTCCTCCCTGCCTCTCTGCCTTCCCCCATCTCTCTTCCCCCACCCCCGCCCCCGTCCGCCCTCCTCCCTTTCTTTTACTCCAGTTTCTTTCCCGATGAACCTCTGTGTCTCAGTCGATAACTCTTGGTTCAGAACACCTAGCTTGTACCACAGAAAATGTATTGATGGATTCCAAACTCAGGCTGCTGCCCTAGCAATCAGTCCCAGTGTTATCTTGCAAATTTTAGCAGAAAGGAATCCAGAAAAACTCTGTTGGCCACCGACACCTACACTTTCACTTCTCTAGCCCCCAATTTCTGCTTCTAGAAATGTCTAAAACTGCAACAAAAAGTCCTTCTTCCAAGAAAAAGGGAGGTAAGGGAATGGGATTGTCACCCCACTCGATTTGCAAACACTCACAAATAAACAAGCAGAATAACAAAAGGAAACCCCTGAGGGTTTCCACATCTCCCTTTTGCACTAGTACTTTCCAGTCTTTCTCCAACTAGAGATATTCTTCAGGCAGCAATGTGAACAGAAAATTTCCTCTCCATTCTTCCTTGTATTATTGTATTATTTTTTTAAATCTGCGTCTGTTCCCTCAATCTTTTTCAAGTTGCTGAATCATCTACCTCTATTTCAATTTGCTTGAAAACCATGACCAGCCTGAAAAATGCAAAGACCGACTTCTAAGGTCTTTCTCACTGCTGGCCTTTCCTTACCAACGGACAGTCTTTACAGATTCCATCCAGGCTGCACTGCCCTGGCCCCTTCTCCATCTTTCAGGAGTAACAGAAGCTAGGGCATTCCTACAAACAGAAATAATGCAAGAGCGAGGAAAAGATCCACATAATGGGAGGATGCATCATCCTTCCCCAAGGAGAGATGTGGAAATCTAATTATTCAGTCTGTTCTGCTTTTACAACTACAAGATTTTACACACACACACACACACACACACACACAGAGAGAGAGAGAGAGAGAGAGAGAGAGAGACAGAGAGAGAGAGAGAAACAGAGAGGGTTGAGAGAGAGTGGAGAGAAAGTAAAAACGATTAGGTCCTGAATTAGGCACATGCAAGCCTGTATGCAATTGAGCAAAATACTATTTCCACAGAAGTAAAGATACTCCTGAAGCGGGCTCTCCTTCTCTAGAACCTTGCATTTACACACCAAGCTAGTAAACAATGAAAATGCTCATTTATCAGAGGTTAGAAGGTGGATTCAAAAGTTTTTCCTTCCTCCGCCTACTCAATGTGAGATCTTCCATTTCATAGGGTGAAGACTTGACTTTGCTGGTGACCAAACAATTTAGAAAATCCCTCCCCCTTCCTGTACCCCCACTTCCCTTACTTCCTTTCACTCCCTTCCCAAAGTATTAACCTCCCCCCACCAGGTTAATTTTATCTACCAAGATTATATCCTCTGTGTCATGATTTTTTAAAAACAGGAAAAAATATGCGAAATACTAAGTGAGCAGGAGCAAACTGTGACTGTATATTAAGTCTTTACTAAACTTTAATAAAAGTTCTCAAGCCCCAGAAACCAAGGGCCTTACAAAAGCTAATTAACTACTTGTTAGTAGCCATTGGATATTTTTAACATGACATTTTGCTGTTATTTAACATAATAAGGATGGTGATATCTCTTCTGTTTGTTAATAAAATGAATACAATTTTCTTTAGAGACTACTCACTTTCTAAGGCAGAAAACAAAATTTCTGATATATACACATAAGTCAGAGAAAACTTCAGATTAGCAAAGCCTGATGCAGAATAAATTGGAGGGGGGAAAAAAACCCTCCAAAACAACAAAACCAAACTCAGAAAGTTCCTATGTGGTTTCTGTCTTGACAATATGGACAATTCACTCATTTTATCAGTTACCAGATTTTAATGTGAGAAAGGAAGCTGTTCAATTATCTAAATATACCAATTGTTCGTAGACAGATGATGGGCAATTTGATCTGCTGTGTCTAATTCATCAGCTCAGATAAGATAAGAAAGAAAAGACAGTTAGATGTCACCAAAGGGTTAATATTTAAAAAGATTAAGTGTCCGGTGTTTTTTGCAAGGAATACGTAGGCTGGTTTTAAAGTTTTCTCAGAAGGAGTTTTTACCCAAGAAATAAAAGGAGCAATACTTGTACTTGCTCTTTCAAAGTACATCTCTAAACATGCTTCAGTCAAACTTTTATTTCACCTACATTGATGCCACCCAAGGATTTGTAAGTTACTAGTTTTAAAAAGGACTGAAACAAATAAACAGAACACTGCACTATACAATAAAAATCGACTGTATTGTAAAGTTAAAATCCAAACTTCTCCATCTTTTTAAAATTTTGTTTTGCAAAAGGGAGGGTGAGAGAGGAAAATAATTGTGCTCTTCAAAAATTCCAGGAGTAATTAAACAAGTCTCAATACCCCAGAATTATGAATACCACTGCTTAGGGTTTTTGCTTTTCTCAAATAAAAAAAAAAAATGAAATGAACAGCATAGCTTGATTTTCGTAACACACTTACAGGGTAACTCTGGCTTGCTAGACTCCACTGAGGCAAACTTCACAAAAAGACAAAGCCACACCGAGTAATACATAAGGAGTTGGGAGAGTCAGGGAAATCTCACAAAATTAGGGAAGAAGTATAAATGCCATACCTGATATAGTCTCTTTTACAGTAGGTTTTCCCATCCCTAACAAAGCATGTACAGCTCTCGTCCAAATACTGATTACACTCCGCACATTTCAAACATGCCGCATGCCATTCCAAATCCGGAGAAACCCTCAGAATATACTGATCGTGAATTTGATTGCCGCAACCAACACATAGGGAAATCAGACGTTTTTCTGAAATGAAAATAAATACATGATTGACTAACCGTTTACTTCCTACAGAGATAAACACACTTTTAGTGTCGTTCTCTTATAGGGCATACTCTGGGAGGTTTCTTTTTTTTTTTTTTTCCTTTCCTTTTTTTTTTTTTTTTTTTTTTTTTTTTAAGAGTATTGCACTTTGGGATGGCAATTGAAGTGTGCCATCAAAACCTTGACTCATTTTTAAAAGGAGGTGGAATATATGTAAAATGCAGATTTGAATAGTCTGCATTTGTACGCCTAGCACGCAATCAAACCCGCTCATTTTGTGTTTCTTTTTTCCCCCTCCTTCCTCTTTGCTATAATCATCGGGAAAGATTATGGATAAGTCAAGTCAAAGAAAAGGTTTTGACTAGAAGCGTTAAGTGAACGCAGGGATGTCTATATTTTCCATGAAGCAGGCTCTTAAATAGCACATAGGACTGGATATTGTTAGCAAGAGCAGACATCAATACAGTTGTCACCCGTTCTCTTTTGCAAGTCTAATGCTAATTCACATCTCTGGGTATTGACTGTGCAGGCAGACCTTTGCAACATAATATAACCTCAGAGAGCTCAGGATTCCCCACGAGGAAATCACCACCGCTCAGCACCAGAAAGCTAGAGGTTTAGAGGCTACACAGGCGAATTCAAACACAAGGTACGATCAGTTTCCCGAAGATCCGAACCGACAGTAAGCATGCAGGCGTGGCGGCAACAAGAAAAAGCCACCTTTTCTCTTTCTCCAGGCAATGACTCCAACTCTAAAGAGCCCTTGGCACCTCAGCCAGTGCCTGAGAGAGACCCCCGCACAAGAACAGCACATCGAGCCCCACAAGGTAAAACAGCCTCTTACTTTTTGGTGGATCTCCCATGTCTCCCATATCTGTAAGAGGGAGTAATGTCCACAGTGAAATGGTGGTTGTACAGTTGGTCAACAACCCACAGAGAGGATGCTGGAGCTGTGGCTAAGTGGGAAACAGTGGCCCTTGGGGTTGCCAAAGCTGAAAGGGCCGCTGCCGGGCTGCGCCGCGCCCTCGCAGATCCGGGAGTCCAATTTAAGCCGGCGGAGTTGGCGGAGCGGAGGCGCTGCGGCGGCGGCGGACTCGGCGCGGCTCGGGCACCTCTCTTCCTTATCTCTTACTCAAACTTCTCTGCTCCAACTCAGCTCCATCGCCATTGGTCTGACGCTACGCGCGGGGACGTCAGGCGAGCGCCGCGCCCATTGGCTGCGGGGCGCGGGGCGCAGCTGTTCTGATTATCATATTTCAGCCTCGCCGCAGCCGTGCGCCACTGACCGCTCGGCGAGCCCGCGGGAGAGGATTAGGGATCCCGAGGCAACTTACTCCGGGCTCAGGCCGTTCTCCCCCGATGCTCGGGCTGCCGGGCTGTTCTGGCTCTGGCCTCCCTCTCCTCCTCCTCCTCTTCTTCCTTCTGCCCCCTCCCGCGTTCCTTCCCGGCCGCGTCGCTTGCGCCCTCGCCTCCCGCAGCGCTGCTCCTCCGCCCTGAGCTCCTGGGGTCCCCGCAGTCTGGCTGGCCGCGTTGCGCGCGGGGCCCACTTTCTGCCGCCGGTGGCGAGTGGCTGGTGGGTAGGTCTACCTGTTGACGAGGTCCCTCCCGGGCTCTAGGAGAAGGGGGAACTTGGAACAGGCCGCTTAGCTTGGTTTGGTCTCACGCCGGGGCGCACATCCCCGGGGCCTGGCCCGCTTTGGCTGCTCGGGAGGGTGAGTTCCCTCCAGAACTGGCTGCGCTCGGTGCGCTAGGGGAAACAGAATCGGGAATGGGATGATTAAACGCAGAGGAATTGTTCCCTGACTGCTACACCACTGCTCTGTCTCCCCCGACCTAAGATACCTAAAAACGTGGGGTGGGAGGAAAGGGGCGCTTGGTGCTGTTGCGGACAGTCTGGTTGGAACGTACAGGTAAAAACAAAGTTGACTCCGCGGACTGACGGGCTTTTTCGCTTTTCAGACACGCGAGGTCTGCTTTTCAGGTTAACTGTAGAATTGAAGCTCACTAACCCGAAGCCAAAGCGTGAAATGATGTTCCAGTAGCCTGAAGTTTGTCAGGTTTTTGTATACTCTACAGTTCCTCTCATTGCTGGTCTCCTGCCCTTTGTTTTTAAGCACCCTTGTGCAACAGGCTGTGGTGTTTTGATAACTGCAAGGACAAGTCTCCGTGTCTCTCTGGAGGTTTTTTAAAAAATGCATTAATGTAAGGGCGCGAGTAGGAAGGCATTTATTACAGAACAGTGAAAGACCTATTTCACATCACCAGGCATTGATATCTAATAATTTTCTCTCGGAAAACTACTTGCAGAGAGAAGACTGTTGGGTGCAACTCGCCGGTAACCTTTTTCAATAATTCTTACATGTTCTCATCATCTCTGACAGTCTCCCAAAGACAAAGTCACAGGAAGCCTACGAAGAACCGCTGCGCTTCTCCCGAAGCTTCTAAATAGCTATTTCTTATCTAATGGGACTGCCAGTTTTATCTTAAAAGGCCTACAGACACAAACCATAGAAGGCTTTAATTTCGGTGTTTTTTTTTTTTTTCTGTGAGAATACCCGGTGTGTTAGGAAACTCCTTTCTTTGTATCTTTCGCAAGATCTAGCCCTTGATAAGAGCTGTAAGCCCTGGCCTGCTGCAGTGGCTGGGCTTGAATGGGTAAAGCCTCTCCAAAGCGGAAAGGGAATCTAAGATGCCTGAGTTTCCCCATGACCTAGCTGAGGCTTTTTTTCCCAGGAACCCGTTTTGTTTTGTTTTGTTTTGTCAAGGAAGATTTCAGATTGGATCTCTTCCCTTCCATTTCATTATAAATTATTTTGGAACGCGTGTATGAAAGTGAAAGTTGGATAACTAGGTTAATGAGTTTCCCAGTTGTGAAGGTTTTTCTTTTTCTTTTCTTTCTTTCTTTCTTTTTTTTTTTTTTTTTTTGATCTGTTTCTAAAGTCTTTGGTATTATATGTATAGAGCCTTTTGTCAAGCTGCTTTTGCAAAGCTGATGCTGATAATCTCAACAGGAAGCAAATCTTCCCAGTATTTGGGCGTGTTTCCCATATAGATAAACATATTGACCCTAGTAAAAAAAAGATACCACCACAGTGCCAGAAAATAGAGTTTTACCCAGTCATATTCCATCATGCCACGTTTATAAGATAGAATTAAACACCAGAAGCTACCAGAAGCCTGATGACTTTTATTTCAGAGCCACAAAGCACCCTCACTATCCATCCTCCTTCAAACCAGCCCCCACCTCCCACACACAGTGTGGTATTTTAACTCCCTAAACCAATAAGCGATTACAAAGAATTATTGCAGATGATAGCAATTCCAAGTAGAAAAGCTGGCAGGTAGCTTGGGGAAAACCTTTAGTAATGAGAAATTTCACCTTAATGGTAGACAACATTTTCCTCTTTTCATTCTGCACCACTGTGGTAAACAAGTGTTTTCTTAATAAGTTCCTAAACTGATAGAAGCAAGATCCATGGAGAAGATACCCGCATTAAGAGGAGATGTTTTAGGGACCCCACCAGGATGGACCTGTTCTGAAGTTGTATGCATGTACCAATGACACATTTTGCATTAAAATCCAAGTTAGAATAGCAGGGTTTGTAGTTTTACTTCACCTTGAAGTTCTAAATTGATCATGGATTATTCTCATTTCCTCAGAGCTGACTGCTATCTGTGGATTTAGTTACATCAAATATATCTGTAAAATTTTGTTTCTCAGAGAATATGTAAAACTGCAATTAGCAATGTTTCCAGAGTACTTGATCACAGGAGCGACCTCTTGTGTTCAGAGGGGGGATCAGACCCTCTTTAAAAAATTGACTTGTTTTGACCTTTGTATATTGTTAGGTCAAAAATATATCCTTGAAAACAGCAATAGTGTGAATCCCTGGTTTGAGCTCCTGTCCTGAGAAAAAGAGGAATATGAGTTATTAGGTATAGTCCCCATCACCTCCAGACTGCCTCAGTATATCTGACAGTGTCTTTCCATATAAAAGGGATACTGAAATTTAAGTTCCTCTGGAGTCTGTGGCATCTGCCCAGGTGCACTTGTATACACTTTCCAAAACGTGGCTGTTATACCCAACCTCCTGGTGGGCTTTAAACCTATTTAAACCTGTCTTTTTGTGTACTGTTGCTTTCTCTACTTTAATTATAATTTAAACATTCCACATCAAACTTAATGTTGGATAGAGATTCCTGAACAAGCATCATGCTCTCAAGCTACATGTCAAAAATCTAAATAGGTTTTAATTGCAATTGAAAGGTAAAATTAAACATTAGCATTTATTTATCTCTCAATAACCTCTGGCAGATATAAATGGTTATTTGGGGAGTCACAAACAGTAATAGGACAGCTATTCCTTCTCATCTAACCAAGACTGGGAAGGGAAGAGAGGCTTTGATCAACTTTCCAATGTAGATATAGATTTGGGAATTTATTCCCAGGGAGATGCTGCTGTGTGTTTAGCTCCCATCAGAATCAGATTCGAAAGAGTAGAGTAACAGTTACACTGCCAGTTTCACTGAGTAAGGTGCTCAGATGAAAAAACATATATAACTAAAGGATTTATGTTATGTCCACAATCGTATAATTTGAGGGCTAAAATGAAACAGGAACATTTTATTTACCTCTAAAAATTGACATTGAGTAGATGTGTATGTATCCCCTTTCTCCTGTTTTTATCTTTTCTGTGTAGTCTCTACATGTAGAATATGGCTATACAAACCCTCAGTATCTTTAATCATGTCCAAGGGTCAGATAAAATTATGTGCGTTTAAAGGGAGTTAAGATTAAACATTTATATTCCACCGGGAAGGGGGTGTGGGTGTTTAGAACCAATTTGCCTCTCTTCCCATTGATGGTGGTGGCTTACTGAGGAACAATTAAGAGAATCTGTGCTCTAATTTCAGAGAAAAAGAGGAGATACCACTGGGTATGAAATGATTTTCTCTTTCCTTCTTTAACTTAAAATACTAAGCAATGATCAGAAAGGCAGTTGTTAACAACAACAACAAACATTTAGTTGTGGTTCTTATTCTGATGCCTAGGACTCCTGCTGCGATTGTGGTTTTGTTGAGTGTCAATTGCTTTATTAACTAGTTAAACAGCCTGGGTGAATTAGCAAGAATTTTCTCTGCACGCAGAGCTTCCTAGCCTTACTTTCTTAGTTCAGGTAGTTGTTTCAGACAACAGCGTTTCTGGTATTTCTTGGCAGACGAAAGCCCAGAAGGCACCGTTCTTGTGCGGTCTGTTGCTCCGTTCTCAGCCGAGATAGAATTTCATGCCCCCGGCAGCCGGGCAGCTGTGAAGCCACAAACCTCAGTTCAGTCCTGAACAACGTGCGAAGGTCCGCAGCTGATTGCAGGGAGGAGTTCGGCCAAGCGAGAACAGAAATGTGCATCCTCCCTTTAAAATCGTGCTTCTGAAAGTATTTACTATGACTTATCAAAAGCGGCTGGCAGTGTCGAGTGAAACCTTTTTCTTGCTTCTCGCTGCGCCCTAGAACTCCTAAATGACCAGGAACAGACGATTTTTAACCCGAGTTCTGGGGCGTGGAGCCCAGGTTGGTGCTAGTGAGCGCAGCGTGCTAACCCAAGTGGTTCTGGCCCAAGGATGCGCTGACCCGTACATTTGGCAAAGCCTCATTAAATGTATCAGATTCTCGCGGAAGTGGTTGCAGTCCCGAGAGGTGAAACCACTGTCTCCCAAGTCCTGAGCGGTTCAGCTGAAATCTACATTCGCGTTGAATCTAGCAAAACACCCACGGGTCCGCCCAATATCTTGGGGAAACCCATAACAAGTTACCTCCGTCTAGTTGATCATTCTGAAAGGATGGACAGCCTTTCCCCCACTGCAGTCCTCTCCAACGGGCAACTCTGAATTTAGCTTTAGCACCAAAGGGTTGATTTCCCCCACCCGCTGGAGGTTTACTGAGGACGAGCGGGGGAGGGGAGGCGAAGGTACCTTGGAGGAGGTCAAGTGGGGGAGGAGGAGGAGCAGCAGAAAATTACCAGCCAAGCAGGGGAGGGAGTTGGAAGCCCGGAAATCTACCAAGGTGCCTCAAGTAACCTTCCTTTAAGTCTCAAAATTCAGCGCTTGAGTAACAGCCTCCTAAGGTGTCCTGGAAAGGAGTCCTCGGGTGGGCTGCGGAGGTGATGTCAACAGTTACAGCTACTTTATGAATTAAACTGACGGCTAAGGCACATCGTAACAGTTTACTGTAAGCTGAATGGTGCATGGATGGGGGCTACTTTTAAAGGGAGGTGGGGAGTCATTGGCGGCATTTAACAGTATATTCTGCGTGTAATAGTAGTTTGAAAGCTGAAGAAAACCCCTCAAATCCCACTAAATGCCCAGTACATTTGAGAGTGATTTTAAGGACAATTTTGAAGGTCGCTGTCTGTTCCTACTCCACTTAGGTGAACCAGCGTGTGAACTCCGGCGCGGGTGTGTTTAGAATTATCCACGACTTCAAATCCATGCTATTTAAACTCATCAATTCTTTGTGACTTCACGTTGAGAGAAGAATTTGCCCTGCCTCTCTATCTGCTAAATGCCGACTGAGGAGAGAAAAGGGGCCAAGGAGACGATCTCTTTCAGAAAGAACGTCACTTGATCAACTCGACTGAGTTATTAACTTGCTCTCTGAAAGGTCAACAGCGCCTTCCCTTCCCAGCCGCAGGGCGCGGAGATCAATCGCTCTACCCCAGGTAGCCTCTTGTTCAGGGCTCAGGAACTCCTATCTTAAGATACTTCGGGGGCTCAGAAGCTCTGCCTATGTGTTCTTTCCAATAACCCCACCTGTCTGCGTTCAAGCACACTCGTTGCTAGAAATTTAGCCTAGCCTGAGTTCAGGGATGGAGAGAAGCGCTAAACAAAGAGACCCCAACCGACCCCTTGGGCCCCTGCCCTGACGTTTTGCAATTCCCAACCTTCTAGCTAGACAGTCCCCTAAATCTCAGTGGTCTGAGTGAAAGGGCTTTTTTTTTTTTTTTTTTCTATTTCATCATCCCATTGACCGAAGCAGAAAAATTGAGCGAAATCTACGCCCCTTGTCCTGACTCTTGCCAGAGGAAAGAAGAAAATCATCCCGCAGGTCTCTCTCAGCTCCTGGATGGCGAGCGCAGCTCCCGGAGCCACACTTAGTTCCTTACTGTGAATCGCTAGTTACCCTCCGTTCTGGGTTCAGGACCAGGGCCCCAGTGACCTCCGTTGCCCAAAGGGACGCGAAAGAAAAGGCGAATCCAAACGCTGGCTAGATGATAGTGATCAGAAAACCAGGGATTACCAAACAAGGGGCAGGCGTGTCCCTGCCTCACGGGAGTTGCGGAGGCTGCAAGACCCTTCAGCCTCCTAGATGCAAAAAGTGAGAGAGAGAGCACAGCCTCAGGCAGTCTGCTCCTAACCTTTCGGAAGACTCAACTTGCAGTCTTTGACTGTCCTCCTTTATGTCCATGTTCCAATCCTCTGGGCTTTCCGCGAAATAAACAAAATTGTGGAAATGAATGAATCTGAATATCACTTGAGTTGTTTCAAACTCATTCTCAAGTCACCTTTTCTGTCATCTGCCAGAGGTTCAGTTTGCGCTTAGTGTCTACGTTCCAGAAAATTATAAGGACGTTTCCTTTGCATCTGTCTGCCTTGCTTGCCGGCAGCGTGCAGAGACGATAGCTGCAGTTGTTGGTGCAGAGTATTTTCATGATTAGCTTAGTTCTAAATGGCACCCCAAAACATAGATACCCAGATTCTTATTCGGCATTTTTCAGGTTTATTCACTTTGTGTTGCAAATATTTGAATTAGAAAACGAGAGAACTCCCGCAGCAAAGATGCACTTCTGTGCTCTCTTGTCAGGTACAGAACACACACTGGGTGATTAGCCAGAGGGGTAGGCTCCTTTGTTGATTTAAGGGTTCACCAGGCAAGATGGAACAATTATCTTGTTGCCTCTTCTTAGCCGTCTATTGTTGACTTATTTCTGGTATGCTTCCCTTGTACAAAATTCGGTCCAAAAATGAAGAATAAGTCGTAAGTTAAAAAGGTAATAATGGTAATAGGTCTACTTTAATTTTACCTGGCTTTGTTAATAGGTAGTCTGTACCTGACACTCATATACATAAAAGATGTCAAAAGTGTATAGCATATCATTTATGTATAATTATGTATATTATGATTATATGCTAATGATGCCACCATTTAACATTACAGGATAATTCTATAAAAAACTTGAAGTTCTATTTTTGATACATGTAACACCCTCTTTACAAGAAAATAGTTGTCAGGCTTTAAAATGATATTCAAGGGTTCTTTTATCAAAAGAATAAAATCTGAAACTTCATGAACTAAAATCCTATCAACCAAGATAGTGCATATGTAGGTTACTTTGGGTTAATGATAACATAAAATACTCTTGTTTTTGTAACTTTGTGTGCACAAAACACACATCTTAAAGTTGTGCATTTAAATGTGCATTTACCAGTTATTCTGAAATCTTAAGTTGCACTATTTCAGCAGGAAATAAAACCCGAATAAGTCCTAGGTAATGTGTAAGGAATAACTATGATTTAACTTTTGTAGCTTAACAATGTTGTGATAATCTTTAAATGTGATTATTAACATACTGAAATTAAGTAGATGATTTTATCACCTAATTTATTAAAAAAAAAGTAAAAACAAGTATAACAAACTGCTTTACTTTCTATAATGTCTATTTAAGGATCTATTACCAAAATTAGTAATAATGGGATTCATATATGTGTAACAAATATGTAGCTGTCACTCTGTTATTGGAGAGTTCAGTCTAGTTATAAATGCATTGTGCTGTCATGTGATATGTGCCATCACTTGAATATTGCTAAATTAATGCTATGCTATATTTTAAGAATCTCCCTCTTCTTTCCAGATACATACACTAGCTCAGGAAGATCCCTGCCTCTTGAATAGAAATAGTAAATCAGAAACTATGTCATCATCCATAAATAGAATCTTTCTGACTTTCGCTTAAATATCAGGACCCAAATTATTGTATATCTCACTTCAGAATGTGGCACAATGTGCTAGTTTGTCTTCTTGGCCCAGTCTTTGGATTTACTCTATACTCTCCATTTTATAAGCTGCACAAACTATTGGTGATAATGAGAACCACTCTATATAGTTTCACTGACTTTGGAGTCTCATAAAATGTATAAAAAAGTATAAATCATATTTTTTAGGTCTTGATGATGTGTTTCTTCCAATTCTGAAGTGTTAGTATAGCTGTCCATAATGTCACGTGATGCATCTCCTCATTGTCCTATCCCCGAGCCATGGCAGATCTGATGTCACTTTGGATATGCCATGTGAGGGCAAACATTTTCTTTTGGGTTATGCCATCAATGGAGAAGAAACATGAGTAGAGTTCTCAAAGCAGGAAAATATAAGGGGATAGAAAAAAAATCGCACTTTTGAGTATAGTATTGGAGAAAGAATTGAGTGTGGGTGACTTTATCAGCCATCAGAACAAAGAGTGAAAGTAGGTGCTTGACTAAGATGAGAGAAGTATTCAGTTTTGAAAACAGAAAGAGAAAGCTTATTTAGGAAAAGAAAATACCGGGTAAATGTCAAGAGGAACAAAAAGAAATGGGGTGTCATGCCCCATTTCATCCTGATAGAATAGGCAGTCAAGGGCAAAACCCAGATCTGAAACAGGAAATGGGTGGAAGTAGGGAACAGTAGATTCATAATTATTTTAACTTGGTATTTAAAACTTTAAAATATGATTTTAGGGTTTTATTTATGATAGAAAAGCAGCTTATTTGGCAATAATTTTAAAAACTTTTGTTGCGTCTTTAGTCAGAATGTTCACCTTTGTAAACTACTCACTATCAGTAGTAAACTGTCAGTACAGAAAATACAAACTAAAAGTACTAGAAATATCATAATATGGATTTCTCTTTTTAATTAGTTAGGTTTATCTAATAATAAGATTCAGGATTCAGAAAGGAAAAAAGACCAGATCTGAGAAGGAATTTTTAAAAATGGCTTCAAAGTTTTCCAGAGTTTTGTTAGCGATTGCCCTTTCTGCAGACTTCGTTATATCAAAAAGTATAATTCAAATATTTGCATTGCTTACACCACAATAAAAAGGGAAAGATGTTGTGAAAACACTGCCTCATGCTCAAATTTACGCAAAACAACTTGAAAGGCTGCCAGCCACACTGTTGTTATGTTAGCAGTTCTGACCCGGCTTCACATGCTCCTAGATGAGTCCTTCTGATGTGAGAAGAATGTAAATCCAAACCACAAGGGAGTATTCTTCGCATCTATGCACTTGGGAAGAGTTTGGGTGCCCAAAATGTCAGAAAAGTCAGATACAGTTGTTCTCTTAGAATCTATTCCGGAGGTCACAAGGTCAGAATGCCTGCACATGTGCATAAACCAACATGCCCATAAAAGCCTGATAGGAGGCAGCAGTGCCCCATAAAAGGTCACACCCAGCCAGAATCCAGCAGCATTTGAACAGCGTCTGTTATGGAGAAGAAATATGAGACTGACAGCAGCAACGGCAGCAGCAGAGAAAGATGGATTGGGGATTAATCATGGTAAGATACTGAGCAAAAGAGACAACGAATTCTGCCAAGCATGAATTCTTCTCCACTCACAAGTTTCACAAAATACACTCTTCAAAGTACAAGCTGGTTGGCCAAGGTCAGGTTGATCTTTGCTAGGCTAAAAGAAGCAGCTGCTGAGTGTTTCCCATGGCAGGTGGAGAACACCTAAGGATTTTTCACTGTTTTAAAAAGAAATGTGTGTTTCAACAGTAGAAAGACTCCTGAAAACACGTCATTAAAATTGCATCCCCTATCAGTGCTCATGACATTCACTTTGGGGTAATACGGTTTTAAAAATATTATTGGTAGCTATTAGCCTGTGGCTTTCCAGGGCCTTACTTTTAATGTATTCCCCCTTGTCTTTCTAGATTTAACATTTTGCCTCATTTCATTATCTCCCCTCATTGAGATCATTTGTATAAGCAAAATATATTAAATGACAGTCTTTGGAAGACTGAATAGGCGCCACTGAACTGTACAGTTTAGAGGGCTCTAGGCAAGGCCACCCAGACTGAAATAGTAGCCCCTCTATATCTGACAAAGCACCTGAAATAACTCTAAGAAAGATTTACTACTTTAACAATCATGAAGACTCTCTGGTTTTCAGGAGGTTTTGTTTGGTTACATTGGTTGGTTTTTTACTCTAATGCCAAAGCTTTCTGTAAGTGATTTTTCCTGTTTCTTTGCCCGTTTGCACCATTATGAAGATTTTTATAATAAGCATGTCAATAAGAAAGAAGGAGTTGAAAAGGAAACAAAAGATAGACCTAAAAATAAGTGATAGACGCAATACTACTCAACAATTAAAAGGAAAGAACTATAGATACATAGTTTAACATGGGTAAGTTTCAAAATGATATGCTGAGTAAAAGAAGCCAGAACAAAAAGTGGACACACTATACTTCCACTTACCCGAAACTCTAGGATATGCAAACTAATGTCTGACAAACTGATAGTGACAGACAGCAGATCAGTGATGGCTTTGGGACGGAGTAGGTAAAGGGTGGCTGTGAAAGGCAGAGATTAAAAATGGACTGGAGGAAATTTTTTAAAGCGATAGTTATATTCCTTATTTTGATTGTGGTGATAGTTTAACAGGAGTATGCATATAGCAAAGCTTACCAAATTACATATTTTAAATAGTTTATTGTATATCATTTAAATGTCAATAAAGCTATTAAAATAGAAAAGAAACTGCATGTGTTGTCCTCTTCTTTATTGTAATTAGTAGTATTATTACATAATTTTTACAATAAAGTGTTGGGGAACGGCCAAATAGGCAGCATTGTATTTAGTGAAACAAGGTACTAGACAGGAGACTAAAAGGAGTTTAGCTTAACCTAATTGGTGTTTGGTCGGTGGTTACTCAGGAACACCAATCTGAATTTTCTATTGCCTAATACTACAATTTTACCCACTTTCTCTTCTTGTAATACTACTATTTAGGATCCCAATATAGGCTTTCCAGACGACATCTCTAATATTCTACTTTCCCCAAAGTCAAATTAATTCTATAATTCCTAGCACTTCAAGTAATTATTTTTTTTAACACATCACTTTCTAATATGTTTATATATAGGATTTACCACCATCTTCCAAGACTCAAAAAAAAAAAAAAAAAAAGTTTTTGAGGAGAAAGTCCACGTCTGGGCCATTACTGTAAATTACTGTCTCTACAAATTTTTGGTGAATTATTAAATGGTCCCCTAGCCAAATAGTTGGGCTGCTCCTGCCTTTGGCTAAACTTCCTCAGACATCAATGGCTGGTTCACCCAAATACTCACCTGAACAAACACCACTTCCTGGGTACCCTGTTCTCTTTGCCCATAGGGTCCTGGAGTCAGCCTGATACATAGATCTGAGTTCTTCATACCCACTAGGCACTCCCTCTGACACTTGGCTGGTCCCCAAGTCTTTCCAGACAGGTTCACCACCACCTCTTTCTGACCCTTGTGGATGAGGTTCCAGCATGTCCCTATCCCACTCCTTTTTCCTCATGAATTTAATTTGCTGTGAGCTGACTTCATTCTCTGATTTTCAAGTCATCATCCTGGCTCTATTGTAAGTCAATCAGCCACAGACAGACTTTTCCATGAGGTAGAGGGAAGGGGGAAGAGAAATGATTTAATTGTGATGTTTAAATACAATATTTATTTCTTTTCTTGTTTTGGATTTTGGGTTTAAACATCACTGATCAGGGCAAAGATCAGTCAGTTTCTTTGTGGATCATATTTGTGAGTCTTTCCACAGGGCAGGACATGTACCCAGTGAGGGAGCAAATAGCTTCATTAAGGACAGGGATGGGCATGAAGGGTTTAGGGGAGAAGAGATGGAGCTAGATTAAGAGCATTCGTATTGACAAGAATCCTTTATAATCTGATCAAAAGCACACAGCTGACATGTCTTTTAACATAGCTCTATATTTGCTAGAAGCATTCTGCTTTGAAAATTTTTTATTAGAAATTTTTGAAACCAAAAAATGACATTAAAAGATTGAAAGGAGGAAATTTTTTCCTATTTTTTCCTCTCTGAGGAAGAGATTGCTATTTGTTTAAAAGATGTCCTTGTCCTTTTGCCTTCCTTCTTCCTTTCTAATATAATCCTGATGTTGATGTTTGTTTACCCATTGGCTATATTCCCAGCTAAAATACTCTGTTTTCTAACCTCTCTTGTAGGTAGGAGTGGCCAATAAGCAGAGATTGCCATGTGAGTCTTCTGGGAAAACTACTTGCAAAGGGGACAGACAACTGGCAGACACAAACTTCTCTGACACCTTTTTCTTTCCCTTCTTCTTGATTAGAACCTGGGAATTGTGGCTGGAATTCCATCACCGTCTTTTCAGTTTGGGGTTACACTGAGGATGGAAGTCAGATGCAATGGGTGTTGCCTGGATCATGATTTTCAAAAACCGTCATATTGTCTCTGAACTATGGAATGATCTGTTGCTGTATAACAAGTTACCTCAACTTTAGTACTTAAAACAACATCCATTTATTATCTCAGCTTCTTTAGGTCAGAAGTCTGAGCATGGCTTGACCAGTACCTTTGCCTAAGGGTTTAATAAGGCTGTCATCAAGGCGTCAGCCAGGCAGCATTCTCCTCTGGAGGCTAGACTAGGTAAAGAGTCAGCTTCTGAAGTCACTCAGATTGTTGGAATAATTCACGTCTTTGCAGTTGTATGACTGAGGTCTCCATTTCGTTTTCTTGTTGGCTGTTGGTCAGAGACTGCTTGTCAGCAACTAGTTTAGGACCTTGATCTCCATAGTTCGTAACATGGCTAATGGCATCTTTAGGGCCAACAGTAGAATCTTTCTCTCTTCAAGAATGTCTCTCCTCTTTTAAGGGATTTTATCTGATGAAGTCAGGTAACCTAGGATAATCTCCCTTTTTATTTACTCAACATTAACTGAGTTGGGACCTTAATCACATCTGCAAAATCCTTTCACTTTTGCCATGTAACATAACCTAATCATTAGAGTGACAGTCTATCATATTCACGGGTCCTGTCCACACTCAAATGACGCATGTATAACAGGAAGTGAGACTGTTGGAGGCCATCTTAGAATTCTGCCTATTTCAACTCTTACCTATGGGCTTCCTGCACATTAAGATGATAAGCCCTTCATTTGTTTCACCAAGATAGACAGGCATATCTCTAATACTAGCAGCCAAATAATTCCTGTTACAAGCTCTGGAAATGTAAATTATATTTTACTCTATTATTTTCCTTAATTTTACAAATTATTTCCTTTACTCTGGGAATGCAAAAAAGTAACTGAGAAAAAAAAATGATTTCAGGCCTGGTGCAGTGGCTCACCCCTGTAATCCCAGCAATTTGGGAGGCGGAGGCGGGTGGATCATTTGAAGTCAGGAATTTGAGACCAGCCTGGCCAACATAGTGAAACCCCATGTCTACTAAAAATACAAACATTAGCCAGGCATGATGGTGGGTGCCTGTGGTTCCAGTTACTCAAGAAGCTGAAGCAGGAGAATCACTTGAACCTGGGAGGCATAGGCTGCAGTGAGCCGAGATCACACCACTGCACTCTAGCCTGGGCAGCAAAGTGAGGCTCTGTTTCAAAAAAAAAAAAAAAAGAAAGAAAGAAAAGAAAGAAAGGAAAAAAAGAAGTTGAGGTCACTCACACCTATAATCTCAGCACTTTGGGAGGCTGAGGTGGGAGGATTGCTTGAGCCCAGGAATTTGAGACCAACCAGGGCAACATAGTGAGACCCCCATCTCTAAAAAAAGTTTTTTAAAAAAATTAGCAGGGCATGGTGGCACACACCTGTAGTCCCAGATACTCAAGAGGCTGAGGTGGGAGGATCACTTGAGCTTGGGAGATTGAGTCTGCAGTGAGCTCTGATCATGCCACTGCACTTTAGCCTGGGTAACAGACTGAGACCCTGTCTCAAAAAATAAAAGTAAAATTTAAAAAGAGTCAAAAGTGAAGGCCCTCCTTCAAATATACCAATATGTCTTCACTCCTTAAGAGTGGATACTGTTAGCCACTTTTTAATTAACCTAGTCCAAAAGGACAAAAAGTGTACATTTACAATACAAATAGGTATATATTATATATGGTAACATGCATAATTATATATTTATAAACCTATACTCATCTCTGTACTATAAATCAAATCTGACAATACATAATATTCTGGTAAAGTTTTAACATGTGTTAATGCCTCCTACCAAAGACTACCAGGAATTCACCTGCTCTTGAACAAGTTGGGCTTCTTATTCATTGCCACAAAGGAGACTACACATCACGGGGTACCCTGGAGTCTTTTAGTAAGAGGGTATTAGGATTTAGAGAATTTGTGCTTTGTTTGGGTGATTTGGGGAGAGTTCAAGGAAATGAGGGTTTGCTCACTTTGGGTTGTATGCTATCAGGAAATGGAGAAATTCTATTATTGAACACCTTAATAAATCTTTTCCAGAAAGAGGAAAGACTAGAAGGAAAATAAAACTGCAATTGGTAAAAGAGAAGCAATCACTTAAATTAGTGAGGAGTGTGAGATGTTTGATATTTCTGTGGTTTCCACAGTGACCTTGTTTTTGTCTTGTGCTTAGACAGAATTATGAATGGTCTCATTTTTTGTATCACTTCTTCACAGTCACAAAGTTACCTTGTCTCATGCTGGTATTTCCTGAGAATGTTTTGGTCCAAGAGGAGAACATCA